ATTACAAAACATTATTTTACATACTGTAAGTGATACAGAAACCAGTAACAAGACCCATGAAGAAGAATCTCCTTATATGCTAGGGCTGTAAGCAGAGGAGTCATACTGGCCAGCTTTCACTGATTCAAGCCGATCGTGTGACATGATTAGAGGTTGTATGACTGAAACAGGAAAAAAACTGCAGTAACTCTGACAACGTCTTTTACTTGTTTTATCTCTAATGAGGAGCTACTGTGGCAATTACAGTCTGAAACAAGCGCCTTTTGGATTGACTGCCCCTCGAAAATAGAAGAATTAAACTACAGGTCTAAGCCCTCAGTGACATCAGATAGAGCCAAAGAAAAGAGAAAAGAAAAACAAACAAACAAACATCCGAAACCAGGTGTTTAATGCAGCCCAAGTTCAGCTTTTATCTTACGGGGATTACCTGAACGTAGGACGTCATAATTTTTGCAATTTCGGCCCGGTTTAATATGAGCATCAACCCTTATTAACAGTATACACGGGACAGATGAAAGATAAGCAATAACAGGTCCATTTTAAGTTAAATAGCTGGTATCTCACTGTAAACAGAGCTTTACTGCATAAAGAAGGACCCGCTTCAGAAGCATATTTCAAGTCGCCATATGAGACTTTCTTATTCATTATTAAAAAAATAAGGATGTTGCTGTAGAGGTTTCAAGCTTAAAATGTCATTGTATGCCAGAGTGTTTTGGTCAAACACTAGAAAAACAAACAAACAAAAAAACACAAGTTGTCACAGTCTAGTGTTTTCTCTGTGCTAAGAAATAATATAAAGTCAAAGTCAAGTATGCTTAGATAACATAGATAACAGTTCTTAGTGTAAATAAGTCAGACACTGAGTAATGCTTGATAAACATGACAGAATAACCCTTTAAAGCTGTTCTATTGACTAAGCTCTATGCACCCAAAGTTGAAGAAGCAAATCTATCGCTTAACTCTACCACATGGTCACATGTGCATCCGTTTCCAGTTTCAGCTGTTCGTGTCACAGCTTCAAGGTCATTTTTGTTTCTTCAGCTCTATAATATGGATAAAATATTTAACAATAACTTCTCGTGTATTTTCTCAAGGCACAGCATACTGAAGATATGCAGGTCAGAAGGAAATTTTGCTGAGCCGACAAAACTCTTTGGAGTTTGCGAAGATGGCTTTCGAACTGCATCCAGTGCATAGCCTCAAGCCTCAGGCCACCTCGCGGCAAAGTTCGACCTTAGTTTCTGTGTCAGCCCGAACAAAATGAAGGAGGGACAACAGAGGGGATCAGGGCAGGCTGGATGAGTCCAAGGGCTGGATTTAAAACTGGAGATCTGGCAACTCCATCCCGTCGACCACGGTAGGAGTTGAGACCTCTCCGGTTCTTTTAAGCTCCTCTCACCGTCTGCCATGCTGACAGTCCGCTGGAAGCAAACCTCAGAAAGGCTGCTGGGGAAGTAACTCTGAGTAAAGCAGTCCCTCTGCTGAGATGGCATCCCCGAGCCCAACTGTCCGAAGCGGGCGCTTGCAGACCAGCACCGGTGTGAAGTAAAAGGTGACGTTTCCGCGGCGCCACACTGTAACAGGCTCTGCTGGGTTCAGGGACAGCTGCTCCCGGGGCTCCATGTGGGAGCTATAAAACTCCAGAGGGGCTCTGAGCTCCACCTTGCTGACATCGACAGACTGGAGGCCACAGGCCTGATTGCAGGCCACCCGCGCTCCGGCCATCACCGCCGCCACCTGGTTCCCCCAGTATCCGTCTACTGTAACCAGAATGTGGTAGGCCAGCGTGTGGAAGTGGATCCGAGTGAGATCGGCTTCTGACGATGGCTCACTGCGGCCGTGCTGCTCCAGGATCCACAGGAGGATGTCGCTGACCCGACCCACATCCGGGATGCCTTTCCAGGCCTCCATTTCTGAATGAGGTCCCTCTCCGGCCTGAGAGAGGAAGAGCAGCTCCTGCTCGTTCAACCCAATGGAGCTGACAATGGGCATAACCTGCTAACAGGAATCAGGAAAAAAAACAAACAAACAAACTTTAAATATACAGAACTCCACGGGGATGTGAAGACACTAAGCACATGAATCTTTGCTGGAAGAGATTTTGTTAAAACTCAGAGCCACAGCTGCGCTCCACATGTACCTCCTGCATTATGCTGTTCATGTAGTCTTTGTCGGTCATGCTCGCCAACTCCAGGTGGATGGGAATGTCTTTACGGATGTCAGATATGGCCGAGACAGCCTGCAGACAGGAAGCAAAGATCCCAGAATTATATAGCATAAACCTTCGTCAAGGCAGCTCAGTCTCAGGCCGGTGTTTACGTCTAAGGGAACGTTCTTACACTTATTTGGATCCAAACTGTAACATGACAGTTAGAATCCACATATATCATTCCCTATATGCCTACGGTGTCACTACACACACCAGCAGTGAGAAACATAGTTTTAAATAGATCTGTATAGCAATATTATCATTTGACTTCAGATCAATCTGTTGAGCTTAAAGGAAAGGTCAGAGGTCAAATATGACATGATATTTTAAATCTTTACTGTCTATATGGCGACACACTTGTAAGAATTATCAGGCAGTTATAAGGCTTTTTATCAATTTATCAATCATGAAGTTGACCTTGAAGACTTCGGTGGATGGCAGCCAAATTTGAATGTATTATCAACATGACCTCGCTCCACACATCTACAAAGTTTGATCAGAATTCATTCAAAACTTTTCCAGCTATTGTGTTTACAGACAGAATGACATGCACGCACACAAATGCTGCCAAAACCATAACCTCCTTGGCAGATGACCTCAGATTATTTTAGTCATGAACACACAGATAAACTGATGAATAATTGATACAAAGCATCTTCTATCCCCTCGTTACAACAGTGCTTCAAACAGAACTGAAATAGATTTGTGTAAGAAGTGGGTGCAAGGCTGTGTGTGTGTGTGTACACGTACGAAGAGAGGCACTTTTTACATTAAATAAACTCAATCAATAAATAAAAAATATACACTTCTTGCCTGCTGGATATACTGCTGTCTCTCTATTATTGCAGGGTCTTTACAATATAAAGCACCGACTACCGTGAATCTGTGTTATACCAAGAAAACTGAACTGCGTAACAACAAATAATAATGAAGATTAAAGTTTAATAAACTAAACATGAAAGCAGAAGATGAGCTTAAAGCCAGCTGACCTCTTTCAGCCGCTCCTCCCACAGCTCTCGGCCCTGACCGTCCATCATGTGGAGCCCAGACAAGACGACAAGCTCGGGCTGGAACTCTTCCAGGCTCACCACAAAAGTCTCCAGTGAGCTCATCTTCCCGTTGGACATGTCGTGAGAAAAGATGAAGCGGTTGGCTGAGGTGCCTGAGTTGAACCCCATTTCTCACCTGGAGACAGAGAAGAGGAGCACATGCACACAGCTGTGATATTACTCATCCAGGCTGAAGTGAGGGAAGAAATCTTGCCCGGGCTGCAGCGTCTTCTTCTTTACCTGCTTTATACTCCAGGATGAGGTGAAACTCATCCGTCTCCTGAAGGGAATCTGGGGGAACAATTATCTGCTCATCCAACATCTCGTGAAGTTTAGGACCAACTGGACCACAAAGCAAAACCTGTTACATAAAACAATATTTATAAGCTCTTCATCCAGATACTCTAAACTTCCCCAGCCTGGCTACCATTTACTTATTTTTGTGCCACTTGCTTAGAATAAATTCCTGGATCTGTGACAGAGATGCTCTAATATCCAGAATTACAGTGTTATAGCGTGTTTGGAGGGCTACCAAAGCAAAAAGCTAATGCTTCTAAATAAATGAAATGTTGTGTACGTGTTTAAGACAGAAATATCAAACTGCTGGTCTACCATCAGATCAGGGTATGTTGCAAGCTTCTGAGCAATCAGGGCAGCATTTCCTCCCACGTAGAACTGGAAGACGACACAAAGATTTTTTGAGAAGGAAGTATTTATTTTAAAAAACATTAAAAGAAATAAAGGAAACAGCTGCCTGAGGAGTAAAGCAGCCCTCTTGCCTTTGCATTGGGGTACTCTGCTGCTGCACGCGCAATCCTCTGAAAAGCCTCCCTGTCACTGAAGAAGCGCTCAGCGGCCGCTCCACGCCCCATGTAATGGATGAAAGCTTCCTTCAAGTCCTCTTTGGAGTGCAGCACTTCGTGATCCTGGCCGATGCCAGGATCCACAGCCAGAGCCTGCAGGAGTGAAACTCCTGAGACCACCACGTCCACGCAGGCATTTACCCTTAGAGAGGCAAGTACGGACTACGGGTTATTTCACGGGTAAATCCGACAAAATGACCAAACTGGTGATGTTAAAAAGGAGGCAAATCCACCAGTGTGGTGTCAGTGTCACAAAACAAGTAACAATTCCTTCATTAAAAACATCAGGGTTTTGTACAGATGCAAGGAAAACTTGCTTTAAAGGTACTTTTTGTAGTTCCCCTATCACATTTAACTAACACACCAACAGGGGCAGAATTACACCAATGGGTGTGTTGATGTTTTTGAATGTTTACTAATTTCTTTAAGCCTTTAAAACAGAGGTTTGACGTTAATGGCACTTATGGAAAATTGTCATACCCCACGTAGCCTGTGGGTCACAGTAAATGTTGTATTCTTTATGTTAAGAGCAAAAGTAAGGGAATTTGAAACCTGCATATTCTAATCTACTAACACAGGTGAATAAAATGCGAGTGGATACCAAACAGCTCAACTGTTTATTTAAGAGCAATCACAAATCTTTTTTGGTATTTTGTTTGACTTTTCCTGATTGGTGGAGACAAAACACTATTAGTGTTCTGCAATTAATTGAAATCATGGCTTGCAAGAGTAATGAGAACGCTCAAAATTTATAAAATGCAAAATCAAGAAAATTGTATTTGAGAATCATCAGTGGACATCCAGATAAGCTGAATTGGTTTTACCACTCATGTTAAATAAAGCATCTCTTCCTGGTGTCACAGCAGTCCTGGATGCAACTATCCTACCACTTCAGTGGGACTTCCGGTGTATTGTTTCACTTCTCCCACTTTAAAAAAAAAAAAAAAAAAAAAAGGGGGGGGGGGTTCCATCCCCCCAGTGGGCCGTCCTTCAGCTTCAGCCAATCATCTTTTGCCATGTGATAATCTGGTTGCGTTTATTGGCCATTCCAAAGCAGGCTACAGGTTGCAAATGACTTAATTCTCTTAGACACCTCCTTCTCCTCAGCTCTGACTCATGACAACACATTCCTTCACACTGGCAGAGCAGACTACAGCCTCTTCATGTGCACAGCACCTTCAGGTGACACGCCTGAGTAAATGCACAAATCTATTTCTTACAAAGACCTCTGTTAATGTTTAACTCTGTGACTCACCCCACTGCCACTCTGCTCCACTGCCGGGTTGGTAGAGTTATCAGAGCCTCCCAGGCGCTGGAGATCACCCGCTCCAAGCTGTTCTGACTGTTCAGGTTTTGAGATGAAGTCTGGAAGTTGGGCAGGCTGATGTACTGCAGGATCTGCTCCGGCAGCTCTGGACTGCCGTAGAAATAGCCAACGGCTAGTGCCAGCAGGGCCGCTACCAAAGCCTTCCTCCACATGATGCTCTCCCACACACTCCTGAGACAAAGGAAGTCGGACACTCTCGCTTTAATATTAACCATTGGTATTCAAAACTCATCCAGTCATGCAGGAGATGTTTCATATATTTATACAAGCTGTAACATTTTCTTAATCTTGCAGGTTTCTTAACTAAAACTATTTGGTGTTATCTATTAATGGATTGACAAAAAAACAAAAAACAAACAAAGAGCAGCTTTTTAATTATTTTTAATTTTAAAAAATGTAAAAAAAATAAATTAAGAAATCAGATCACCGTAAAAGTCTAAATTCCTCTAAATGTCTTGTATCACACTGGAATTAAGACAGGGGCTCCAACAACTGCAGTCCCTCCAATGGCCACTTGAGGAATCAGTCCTCTACTAAAACATCAGGTTTAACACCAAAATAAATAGGTTTACAGCCTGGCACAGGACAAACAAACAAAACACCACAACCTTACCTCTATGGATAGTGTCCTTCAATTAAATCAACATTAGATGTTGTTGTTGTTTTAAACATAACATCGATTTGCATTTTGCTAAGGCTCAAAGATAAAGGTACATTTCTGTTTCGCACAAATTTGCTACTTTTTAACTTTTAAATCTGCAAGTTTGTTTATTGTAAATTTCCACATTTGTTTGTGGACATTTCTTTCATCCAGTTATGATTCGTAAATTGATTTATGTATAATGAACTATACTATACTACTATACAATGACCCCCTTCAGTCCCCCAGCCTCTTATTTATTTATTTTAACCTAATACAATTCACATTTTCTGATTCAGATTGTCTCAGTTGATACGATCCAGATTGACACCAAGATGAAACTGCAGGTTTAAAATATGATCTCCGTGTTTCGTGCTAATAATACCAAGAGTTGCTCTGGTAGGCACAGGGAGCCCATTGCCCTCTAAGCTGCAAATATACTGTGCACATTAATGCATAGTATGCTGTTAACTTAGTGCAAATGGACACACAGAATGTGTTAGCTAACACGCTAGCAGCCCTCAGGCTCCTGTAGTTTTGCTCACAGTTTAGATATCTATGTAGCAAGTAGCTTTAGCTTCGGTTATTCGGAGATCTCATTTAGAAAGGAGGCTCGCAGCCAAACACTTGCTGTACAGTCGGATCAGTTAACAAACAGCTCTTGTTACATCGAAGTAGCCAAAGCTTCACTGTAAGTTGTCAGCGGCACGTACCGAAAATCTGCTTTAAAGATTCAAAGTCTGTCTCACGAAGAAGATCCAGCTTCCTGGTAAGTCACACAAAGTAGGTCCACACCGGAAAACTACCGGTGTATAGAGGAGCGGCAGCTGAAGAAGTCGTACAAGTCATTCAGGAACCACGGACGGCAGACCGCCAGCAGCGGCTTCCGTCTACCGTAACGCGCATGCGCTACTCCACGCTGCATTGAAGTACTGTGTTAAAGTGGAAGAACAGGAAAAAAACGTTTCTACTTAGGAGGATTAAATTTTACTCATCAATACAAGATGGTTATTCCAGCTCAAACCGTCAAACTCGGTTTAGTTTATAATCCCAAGTGACTGGAACCAGTTAAAAAAATAATGAAATTTTAATTGCAGTTTTTACTTTTATCTCATTTAACTAATGTCACTTCACTGTAATAGCCTAGGGCCTGAGACACAACCAAGATCACAAGCATTAGTGAAAGACACTCCTTATCAGACTGCTTTAAAAATCCCAAATGACAGAAAAGCATTATTTATTGTTAAATCCTTTGGTGAGGATAGGAGGAGGGAGTTGGCCCGCTTCAGGCGTCTCAGGAAGTGGAGGCGCTGCTGGGGCTTTTTGGTGATAGAGGTGGTGTTGGTGAGGTGAGGTCGTCTGAGATGTGAACTCCCAGGAACTTGATGCTGTTAACAGTCTCTACAATGGAACCTCGGATGCTGAGTGGTGTGTGGGTGGAGCGAGTCTTCCTGAAGTCGAAAACACCTCCTTGGTTTTGTCCACATTCAGTGACAGGTTGTTCTCGCTGCACCAGTACGCCAGCTGCTGAACCTCACTCTGTACGCCGACTCGTCGTTGCTGCTGATGAGTCCAACCACGGTTGTGTTGTCAGTGAACTTGATGATGTGGTTAGAGCGTGTAGGGCGGTGCAGTCGTGTGTCAGGAAATGAACGTGGGCCGAGAACACAGCCCTGAGGAGCTCCTGTGCTCAGCCTGATGGTGCTGGAGATGTTGTCGCCGATTTGGATGGACTGAGGCCTCTCTGACAGGAATCTATACCAGTTGCAGAGAGAGGTGCTCAGTCCCAACTTGCTGAGTTTAGCTCACTGATATCTGGCATTGTATAAGTTTTGGGTTGTAAGGTCATACTTCCCATAAAGCCCAAAGAAAGCATACTCTTCTGACTTGATTGGTTTGTTTCTTTATTCAGAGTGAAAAGGTTTGACCGGTTCTGAAACAAACAAAATAGGAAGCCACTCAAAACCCCAGCCATATAACATCTTTACAAGCAAGCACAAGTCCTGCCTGAACTGCTTGTTGTTACTTCCTACTTCTTACTTCAAGCAAAGTGGGTGTGGCAGCTGTGCAGAAAAATAAAGACTGCACTTTTTTTACTGTATTTGCCACACTCAATCACTAATTTATATATTTAAAAAAAAGCATTAGATTGGGTATTCAATTATTTCAAAGCCTTGTGGATATCAATATTGTTTTTAATCGAAACACTTGAACCCAAACCAGGCTTTAGAAACAAAGTTTAGAAAGTTTCTAGAACGGAGTGCTGCCAGAAACATTAAATGACCAAAGACAACAAAGTACAACTTCAGATGCTTGGGGCCAAAATATGAAATAAATATGAGTTAAAGATAAGGGAACCAGAGACCAGAAACACAAACTAACCCTTTAATATTCTTAAACACACCTTAGGCGGATTTAAGATTTCTTTTCAAATGTTGATAGAGGGAAAAACATGGTCACCTGTGCAGAAGAGCAGGAGCAAAGCAGTTCTCTGCATAAACAGAGCAGATAAGCTAGTCCATGTGTATTACTATATCAATGAAGACCCGTGCAACAGTGTTGTGCATCAGCTGCAGATGGAATAGAGTGGATCCGGTAATGCCTGTTTAATGCAGTAGTTCAGTGTGGAGAAGATTGGTGCCGTCTTAAGCTTCAGTTTCAGAAAACTGTTATTAGGTCTAGTTATAGCCACTGTAGTATTTGGGGGACCATAACAAATTCTGAAAGCATTTGTTGTCACTCCAGTAATCCTATCTCCGTATCCACAGGGGAACTGGCTTTGATTGTAAACGGATACATTTCCAACCTAAAGATAGAAAGTGTCTACACAATAATTCTCAGATTGTTACTTCCTACTTCTTACTCCAAGCAAAGTGGGTGTGGCAGCTGTGCAGAAAAATAAAGACTGCACTTTGAGAAGAGCAGGAGCAAAGCAGTTCTCTGCATAAACAGAGCAGATAAGCTAGCAGCTAGCAGATAAGCTAGTCCATGTGTATTACTATATCAATGAAGACCCTTCTAAGTGTCTACACAATAATTCTTCCCCTGCCTTCAGCTGCTCCATCAAAAGAAAGTGCATTTTCTTGTTCTACATGTTCATAAAGAAAAATTCACACGAGACCAGTTCGACTCTTTATTACAAATTTACTATAAACATGGTACAAAAGTTACACATGTCAAACCTTTGACTGAACAAATATGGCTTTAAAACGTAACCTCATATTTAAAATATATTACAGTCAGGATATTAGACATTGTATGCACTAGCTCTGTGCTACTCCTGGTTATGACTCTACAGGTTAAACGGTTACGAGCATATCCTAAAATGTGTAAAGTGTTTTCCTAAAATATTTCATTAAACTTTGAATCTAGCCCTTTGTTTTAAAATAACTTCCCACTTGCTTAGACACAGTGAATTATACGAGAATGAGGCTGTGGTTTGAATCAGTCAGTATGAACAACACCATACTGCCTGATGCTGTCCATCATGTCACAGTGTAAAAAAAATTAAAACGGCTCTATGAGATATTGTGTTACTTGTTTAAATACGAGAACGTTAAAATACATCTTTTCCACTGACGGTGCCCATCCGGAACATAGTTTCAGCATTTCTACTCTAAAACGTAGATCCCTGTGGCGACAGCACGAACTCCACTGTAATGGCACATTTAAGTCTGCCATGATTTTCTTTCCCCTAAAAATTCCATCAACTTCGCCATTATGCGCTGTTATTTTTCCCACCAGTCATCTGACCTACTTCTCAAATCTGCCACAATGCGAGTTGGATTTCAGAAGACACTAAAAGAGAAATAAACATGCGCCGTGTCTGTGCTGTAGTAACAATGGGTGGAGCACTGCAGCAACAAAGCCTGGGTGACGGTTTCAGTCCCACTGGGTCACCACACAGAAACTCTTCTTTTGCTTTGTCTTGTTGTGCTGATGGTTTTCTTAAAAAACTATTTTTGAAAATCATGTGTTTTTAGCTATAGCTCACTTTAAGTTAGAACATTAGGCTTCTGGGTGGGGCCAGATGTGGGAGGGTGGGCTCAGGTTCAGCGATTGTGGGGGCATTGAAGCTGACCCGGACGTCCGGGGTAAAACCCCTGAAGAACCCCATCTACAACCACATCTGGAAGACCTGCAAGACAAACTTTGCTTTAAAGAAACTTTCCATATCTGCAGTAAAGCACCAAACAACAAAACTAATTTCTCCATGCCGTGCGTTCACCCTACCCGAAGTGCTGTCGGTGAGATAAGGATCCTGAAAGAATCCCAGCACTCGCTGATTGGTAAACTGATAACTGAGTAAGCGAAAGCAAAACATAATCGATTGATTTCATGCAATGAGTGTGAGTTGGAACTCAGCTGTCATCATTCATATAAAACACTGTTTGCACAAATACTGAGAAACAGGAAATACCAGTAATACTCCCACCTGTCATCTTGGCTGTCAAGTTCATCAAGCGATCTGAAATCAGAGCAGATAATTACTAAATACTGCCAAAAATTTCGAAATGAAATGCTTTGTGATGCTGCATAGTTGGCCATTTTATACAATGGAGTTTGCAGGGATGGACGACTTTTAAAATGAGCACTCGAGGGACTGCAGCTTTTGTCACTTGCTTCAGATTCCCAAAACCAACAGGTAAAAGAATGGTGGCTGGTTCCATCTTTTATATACAGACCATGTTTTAAGGATTATTACATTTACAGTATAATTTAAAGAGACACAACTAATAAAGACTACATATAGCACACTAGTCTTTATAATTAGTTGTACCCTACACATCCTGTGTGTTCTGTAGGAGCAGCAGGGACTTAACAGAGCCTCATTAAATCCACTGTGGGGTAGAGTCAGGGTGCTACTGCTCCAGATCGTTTCTGAAGATTTATTATGTTGTCACATTGCCCCCGTGACCATTAATAGAGGCGCTAATATAGCAAAATGTCCGGCTTCTCCAGACTGAAGGACTTACTCCATGCTGCTCTTGTTCCCCGTGTGGAAATGTCTAACGTGGAGGAAGTCCAGCAGCACCTGCGGCACATCTTCATACTGGTAGATGACATCCTGGAGAGAAAAAAAAAAAAAAAAAAAAAAAAAAAAAAAAAAAAAAAAAGAGCATGTTTTCTTTAACAGTTTTTAGGGGCAAAACATACAAGAAAGGGAAAAAAAACCCACCTTTATTTAGACAGTAGTATAACCACATAATATTATAAAGTGTGATCTTTCATCAGCAGAAATATACATAACATTTACCCCGGAGCCCGTCACAGGAAAACACTTCCTCAAACCTGAAAAGTGTTTATTAAATTCAAAGTTTCAAGTCAAGGTCAGTGTAGCCGAAATCTCTGAATTCAAACTGTTCTAAACTTTCAGTTTCAAGCAGTTTTTTCTGTGAATAATGCAAAACTAAACCATTAGAGTACACAAATATAAACATTTGGAGTTACAAAATGAGAATCACAGATCCATTGAACTAAAGTTTTGTGCGTTACTCAGTGAGGTCCTTGCAAATTTCTTTGATGCCAAGTAAGTGTCAGCTGATGGGGTTTTATCTAAATCTAGTCACGGTTGAATAATAGTTCAAAAGATCAATTCTATACAGTTCAAGGAGCACGATTTTACATTTGGTTCTGCATTAAATGAACAGATGAACAGAAGCCAATATGGGGGAAATATGCTCTCTCTTTCTAGGCCCTGTCAGTACTCTCGCTACAG